AGCAAAAATGATAAATAGAATCATACTTGATAAAGTACTTTGCATGATGTTAAGTTCCAGAATCCCAAAGTCTTTTTGGAGAGAAGTTGTTATGACTGTGTGTTATCAGATTAATTTGACTCCATCTGCTGTATTGAATGGTGATACTCCGCTCGAAAAATGGTCCGGTAAACTAAGTGATTATTCTATACTTAGAACTTTTGGCTGTATAGAATTTTCTCATCAGAGTGAGGGAAAACTTGAACCTAGAACTAGAAAATATATTTGTCTAGGTTACCCTGGGGGTGTCAAAGGGTACAAGTTGTGGGATAAGAGCCAAAATGAGGTTAAGATATTTGTGAGTAGAGATGTTACATTCAATGAGAACGAAATGTCGTACCTTAAAATTGAAATTGAACCCGTGAGTGAAGAAAAATAAGGTGAAGAGAATAATCAGTTGAAGGTAGAGTTAGAGAAACTTAGCACATCTATCCCTATTACACAGAGTGAGGTAGAGACTCAGGAACAACAACATGACATGGAGAATATAGAGAAAATAGTAATAGAAGAACACTTTGAAGAAGAGAATCCTTTAGCAGATTATAAATTAGCTAGGGATAGAGAGATGTGATAGTCTAGAGCACTTATAAGATTTGGTTATGAATTTGAGCTAGTTTTTGTTCATGCGAGCTATGAGGAGTTAGCTGATAGGGAGCCAAAGACCTTTAAAGAGGCGATGAATAGTGAACAATCTAAAGAGTAGTTTAAGACAATGAAAGATGAGATAAGTTCTTTAAAAAAGAATCAAACTTGGGAGCTAGTATTGTTGCATCTCATCCATTTATGGTCAAAGTCAAAGTTAAATAAGGATTAAGTTGAATAAATGATTTACTATAATCGCGGCCAAGGTTTACACATTAGAAGGAATTGTCCAATGTCATTATAGGAAGGTGGTATGCCACATAGAGTATTTCCCCAATAGAGTGTTAGAAGTATGAGACTGAATCAAACTCAAGGAGATGCTTTGGATAATAGAGCAGATACAAGAAGTGTGGTCTAGTCTAATATTTCAAGTGGTAGTGGTACCCAACTGAAAGGTTAAGATGGACGACCAAAGAAGGAAAGAAAGGTTTTTGCTATCACGCAGCAGGCAACAGAAGAGTTACCAGATGTTATTATGGGTATGTTATCTATTTTTGATAAAAACGCTCGTATTTTAATTGATCCTGGAGCTACACTTCTTTTATTTCATTTGCACTTGCTATACATACGAATCAATGTGGGGTAGTGAGTACGCCAGAACCTTTAGGCAGTTGTTTGGTAGTGAGTACGCTGGTAGGTGAATCAATGTTAACAAACAATATATACTGAGACTGTGTGGTAAAGATAAATGAGCGCAAGATGAAGGCAAACTTAATACCTCTTGGCATCCATGATTTTGATGTTATTTTGGTTATGGACTTTTTAGCTGCTAATCGAGCTTCAATTGATTGTTTTCAAAAGAAGAGTGCGTTTAAACAACTAGGATAGCCTGAAGTTATATTAACTGGACAACACAAAATTTAACCATCTTGTGTGATATCTGCTATTGATGCTAGAAGATTACTTAATAAGGGTTGTGGTACATATTTGGCTCATGTAATTGACACAGATGCTAGCAAAATAAAACTTGAAGACATCCTAGTGGACAAAGACTTTCCTGATGTATTTCTAGAAGAATTGCCAGGTTTACCATCATATAGGGATATGGAGTTTACTATTGATCTGATTCCAGGGAGTGTGCCTCTTTCACGTGCACCATATAGGATGGCTCCAACAAAATTGAAGTAGTTAAAAGTTCAATTACAAGAATTGGTAGATAAGGGTTTTATCAGACCTAGTGAGTTGGGAAAAACATAATTATTTTTCAAGAATTGATAAATTAATTATACTATTATACATT